TCGGCAGCCGCGGGGACTGGGACGGGAGGAAGCTGAGGCCGGCTTCATCCGACCGCAGGCCGTGGCGCCCACGCTGCACCGCTACCCACATCTGCGCCTCTGAATCTTGGGACAGGGCTGGCAACTCCTGAAATTCCCCAGGAGCATCACACTGCGCACACGGGGGTGCGCGCGAAGGCTGGGTCGGAGGGGAGCTCCCTGCTGCCTGCCTGTTCTGTGGCCTCCGGAGATGCAAAGGTTAAAACCGAGCCCTGCCTGGTCCTGCGTTCTTTTTGTACTTGGCTCCTGTGACACTGTGTGGTTATTAATCTACCTTTTTCGATGTACCCTGAGTGCATTAAATTGTGGGAGCTCTCAGTTAAAACCAAACCCTGCCTGGAAGTGGATGGCACTGTGCTTGCCTCTGACCTAAAGTGCAGGTGCCGCTCTGGGGCCCGATCTCTTCCGCACAGACCCGTCGGTTTTTCTGAAGCAGCCCTGCTCCCCATGGCCTCCCGGCCTCCGGTATCTCCAAGCTGGGTCCCTTGCTGTAGCAGGGGAAGCGGGTGCTGTCCCTGAGCTACCATAGCCAGCGAGCGGGGATGAACGTCCCTTTTGCCCCGAGGCTCTGTACTCTAACCCTTCCCGCAGGCTGAGCTCCATCGCTTCCCCAAGCCTTGATCTGTAGCTGGCTGAGGAAGTCCCGTCAGGCGCCACAGGGAGGAGCCTGCGGTTTATCCTCCAAAGCCCTCTGGGCCCAGGGGTGGTGTTTGAATCCTGCAGGGCTCAGGCTCACACAGCTAGGACTGCGCAGGGACCCCGCTGACCTTCAGCGCCCTCCGTGCCTGCTGCCTGAGCCGGGCAGAGCGGCAGAGAGGTGTGGGCACAACCAGTGCCTATGTGCTGACCTTGGGAACAGAGCAAGACCGTTCCCGCTTTCCTGCAGCGTTTGCTCCCCTTCAGCCGAGGTCTCGCCCAGCTTGTGAGAAGACGGGGACGATCTCCCCACCCGTAGCCCTCTCCCCTCTGTCCCTGACGACATCAGCCCAGTCCTGAGCTCAGCTTGCGTGCCGGCTCTGCATCGTGGGCACGGCCGGGTGAGTTCGGGGCATCTGCTCATCGTGTCCAGAGGCTGGGCTCCCCACTCTCTTCCTTACAGAGCGCGTCTCCTCCGCGGAAGGCCTGCCTGTGCCACTGGGGACCCAGGCCTGAGCGCCTCGGCCTTCTGCCGTGGGCCTGGCTGTCCCACTGCCCTGACCTCTCCTCCCTGAACAACACCGTGTCCCCAGGAGCCACAGGCTGGACGGCACTGCATTCCCACCACACTGTCTCCCCAAAAGCAGGAACACCTGGCCATGGAGACCACGGGAAACAGGGCTGCTTTCTGTGAAAGTTCCTCCAGGGCGTCCACTCCCAGAAGCCACGTGGGCAGCAGAGGGCTGGCTGGCTCGCTGGCCATGCACAAGCACCTGCCAGGCGGAATCCACCGGGGGCTCCCGGAGTGACAGGACAAAGAGGATCCTGGGAGGAGCGGGTCCCCCGCCACCCGCCTTTGCGTGAGGAATGCCGAGGACTGAAGGACAGGCAGGGCCCGGGCTCGGCTCTCGCTGCCGTGGCCCTGAGCCGAGTGGTAGGGGAGCCACGCAGCAGGGACCCTGTCCTCTCCTCCGGGGCACTCACACGCACAGAAAGCTGAGGAGGTGCAAGCTGTCACCTGGGCTGTGCAGCGCCCAGCACAGCCGGGGAAGGGTCGAGGGGAAGCCATGGACCCGTGAGGCCCGCCTTGGCCTTGAACCCAGGCGGATCTGTGCAGCCCCTTCCTTGCTCATGTGCATGGCTGCACTCCCGGGCTTGGGGCTACAGGCAGAAGCTTTGCATGTTGCGCTTTGTCCAGGCCCTGGTGTGGAGCTTCTGTGAGGAATCAGGAAGGACCCGTGTGCACAGAAGGGACCCGCATAGGCCCAGGGCACCGCTCGGCTCTGTTCCTTCTGCAGAGGCGGCCTCCTGGCTTCAGGCACACATGGGGATTCGGGGGAAGCTGCGCTGCATGGCTGGGGTCCAGCGGTCAGCTTCGGGCGGGTGGCTGGTCCAGGAGACCCAGGATCCAGCTAGGAATCTCGCAGGGCTGGGCGGACCCCAGGGGGGTCCTGCAGTGGGGCCAGGATGACCACCCAGCTTCCGCCTCCCTTCACTCGGCTCCCATTTCCCAGTCTTGGGGTCCTGGAATTTGTTGCAGCAGGAAGATCGCAGCCAGCAGCCACCGTCAGGTCCTTACGAGGCTGCCTTTACCCTGGATGGCCCCGGGCAGCAGCATTCACCTCGTTTTGATCTGATTTTGATCTGAACTCATGAAGACACTCCAAAAAGAGACTCCGGAACTGCTTCAGAAAGTGGCGAGAGCAGCGGGTCGGTGTGCCCGAAGCACAGAGGAGGATTTCAGGGAGAAGGATGAAGCAGCCACCGTCAGGTCCTTACGAGGCTGCCTTTACCCTGGATGGCCCCGGGCAGCAGCATTCACCTCGTTTTGATCTGATTTTGATCTGAACTCATGAAGACACTCCAAAAAGAGACTCCGGAACTGCTTCAGAAAGTGGCGAGAGCAGCGGGTCGGTGTGCCCGAAGCACAGAGGAGGATTTCAGGGAGAAGGATGAACGGTGATGTGCCTGTTACTGTCATACAGTTTTAAATCTTAAACGTCGGCCATCTCTTGTGACCACCCCTATGTGCACACCTGGAGGCCAGCGCTCATTAGTTCAGAAGTTTAACACGCTTGCCCCGAGGACCTTTTTCTGTAAATCCAGTGGGTCCTCTCTTGCTGAACTGAGCCCCTGGTCCCCGTGCTTCCGATCTTTGCTCGGTTCAGAGTCTGTGTTCCTGCCGTGTTCAGTCCGCTCAGCAGCTCCTGAGAACTAGTAGGTTTCATAGCACTTGGAAAGGAAAGCAACAGCCTGAGAGATGCTGGGACCCACGGAGCCTGCTCTCCCAGTGGCCTCCCCGTCCTTTCTTTCCTTGTGTGTTTCCTTGCGGAGAGCAGAGGTTGTGGCCCAGGCTTGTGGTGCAGACCTGGGGAGGGGACACTTTCAGCCTCCCCAGGTGTCCTGAACACCACCACCAACCCCTCCACTTGTGCCCCCAGAGGACGGGGGCAGGGGAGCCAGGGCGCCCTCAGGACCATCAGCTCACCCAGACGGGGCTGGGCACCCTGGCCCCTTTGGCTATCAAGCCCCAGTTGTCCAAGCTCATTCTGAGTCTCCCTGAATCCCTTCTAGGCCAAATGCTGACTATTCCAGGGTTTCTTAAGCACCCAGAGAGGATTCTATTTTAAAGCTCAGACAGGTTTCCTCTCTTTAGCATAGACTGCCTCGAATTTGATTCCATTTTCCATTCTACTTAAGATGACCCGCTGTCCTGGCCCCAGAAGGCGAGGGTTCAGTGCACAAACGATCCCCAGCCAGTCAGGGTGGGGGTCACCCTAAAACACGTCAGGCCTGTACACCTCTCCCACTTTAGTGCAGCCATAAGTCAGAGAAGAAACATTCTCCCAGTAGCAGTGTGGGAGGTGATTCAAGCTCTGGCACCACCCAAGCCAAGCCCTCAGCCCCAGACCCTCAGGAATCAGCCTGACCGATGTCTCCCTGAGCCCCAAAGTCAACACAGGTCGCTAACCAGGAGCCGCAGCGCTGCAGGCTCTGCCCCAAAGCTGTCGCACTGTCTGAGTTAACATCTCGCAGCAGGGACTCTGCATGGAAAATCCCATGGAAAAGTCCACACAGATAGATTTGTGATGCGAGGCTGTCGTTACAGCAGTGTTGGTCAGGGTTTCCACTGGATGTGGTCTAAATCTTGGTCCAGCACAATTCTTTCCAGCTGGAGTAACATGGGCAGGTTTTTGGCCATGGGGATTTTGCGATTTGTTTACACATTGGTAAGGCTGGGCGATGAAGCTGGAAACAGAATAACAGTATGGATTTTTGTTCTTAATGTGTCCTTTCAGTTGAAGCTAGGAGAACACAAAAACAAAGAGACTGCCAACCACCCAGCATGCTGGTGCACAGCTGTCATTCCAGCACTCTGGAGGCTGAGGCGGGAGGATCACAAGTTCAAGCCCAGCATGGACAACTTAGTGACTGTAGAGAAACCCCGCCTCAGAATATAAAAAGGGATGAGTGGGGATGTAGCTCAGTAAAGACCCTCAGTTCAAATCCCAATATCACAAAAAAAAAATGTAGGGAGAGAAGAGAGTGGGAGAGAGAGAGAGAGAGAGAGGGAGAGAGAGAGGAAGAAGAAAAAGCAAAGGAGGAAGAGAAAGAGGGAAAAGAGGAGAAGGAAGAAAAGAAAAGAAAGAGCCAACCAAAGCCGATTAAGGATATTATCTGGATCCTACGATTTCGGATTTTAAAGTGACACTTCATCTTTTGCTTTCCTTTATAAATGAAGCACTGGAGGAAAAGCCGAGGTTCACTTCGCCCTAGTGCCCAAGGCTTGGCCACTGCTGCGGAGGCACTCGTGGGCCCGGCTGTTGGGGACCAAGCAGCCGTGAGCGGGGTCCTTTCCTGGGTGCTCCCCAGCTACGCCTGGGGTCACAGAGAGGTGACGCTGAACCCCTGGGTCCTCTCCCTCGGACAGGACAGGGCCCTGGTGCCCCTTCTGTTCTGGTGCTCGGGCTGAGCTCCCTCCCTCCGTGGAGCTGGAGCGGCCTGTGTGGTCAGTGTCCCCCCTGTCCACTGAGCAAGGCAGGAAGGAGAGGCCCTGGCCCCCTGCTCACCTGCCTGCCTCAGCGCAGGCCCCGCACCTGTGGGCTGTGCAGCTTGGCTTGGCTGAGGGTTCACACTCACAGCTTCATCTCCATTGCACTGTGAGAGGACGTCTGCCCCAGGGCGACCTCGTCCGGCCCAAAGGGAAAAGATCTGTCCACCTCCCTGCGGGACACGCGGGCCTGCTAACACTGCTCCCAGGTGAGGAAAGCCCTGTGCCAGCCACAGCCCATCCGCCTCTGCCCCGGGCCAGGGGACGGCACGGAGGACAGGTCGGCCCTGGATGCAGATTTCCAACCGCAGCCCTGTAGGGTGAGGGAAGCCCAGCCCCAGCCCCAGCCCTCTGCACCCTACGTCTGAGAACTGGGAGGTCCGTATTCTCTCCAGCAGCTGGGAAGTGGTGCAATTAATCTGAGTGAAAGCTGGGAGGACAAGGTCCCGTGCTGAACTTTGTGGGGTTATGAAAACACGCAGGACGCTTCGCCGTTTATTTTCAGTAATTGGCAGCTGAAGGCTCCATCTGGCTGAGCTGTGACCCAGGTTGGAGATAAATGGCCTACTTCCCTCCCCTCTTCTTTAATTCATGGTGCAGCTCTGGGCTGCAGCAGCCCAGGCCGTGTGAGAGGGGATGACAGCGGCAGGTCACGGGGGAGGCCTCTCAGGAAGTGGGAGCCCTGGAACCCGTCGTGTGCAGTGCTACCGCCAGGTGGCGCCGTCCCTCCTCCTGCGCCCCGTGTCCACTCGCCCGGATTGGGGCTGTGTCCTCGGCAGGTCAAGCTTGGGGTTTGGTCGCTGAGCGTGCACAGAAGCTCATGCAAGGCTCAGCATGTGCCCACATTGTGTATTTCCTCTCTGCGCTGGCTGGAGCGCTGAAGTGTGAGGGGGATCCGGGCTTACTGCAGTTTAATTATCTTTCCGTAGTGCAGGGCAAGAGCCGTTACATGGGAAGTCAGCGCCCACGCAGCAAGTCCTTCCTGCAGAAGCTGGGGCTTGGTGGACCAAGGGCGCGGCCCCTCCTGGGCTTCTCATGCCGCTGGTCCGCAGGGGCACTGGGAGCTGGGCGCCCCTGGCCTCCGTCATCAAGGCTTCTGGGCCTCTCCAGGGACAGAGCTCGGGAATGGGCCCCCAGGCTGCAGGTCTGCGCACAGCTCCGGGGAGGGCTTTTCATTCTGTGAGGGGAGGCTCTGCTCTTCTCCAGAAGTGCTCAAAGAAACGAGCCACCAGGCCACGAGCTGCAGAGCACCGGGAGCAAGAAGCTGGTCTGAAGCGACTCCCAAGTTCCTTCAGTCCCAGGGCCAGGGAAGAACGGTGGAGGAGGCAGGCATGCAAAGCGCGCCTCTTACTGTGTTTGTCCAGATCCAGCGGCGGCCCGGTGCACAGCGCGCCTCAGGGTGTGGAGGAGGAGCCCTCACAGGTGCCCGGATGGTCACAGATGCTTGCTGTGGGGATGTGGACAGTGGCCAGGCTCTGGCTGGAAGGGCAGGGGACATATGGGTGGTCTCTACCGTCTGTTCAGTTTCACTGTGAACTTAAAGGGCTTTAAAAAACAAATCTCAGCCAACCATAGTGGTGCAAACCCCTAATCCCAGCATTCCAGGCAGCTGAGGCAGGAGGATGGCAAGTTCTAACCCAGACTGGGCAAAAGCAACTTAGTGGGGACCCCACAGGCCCAGGGGTGTAGCTCTGTGTGGAGGCCATGGCTTGGATCTCCAGCCCCGCAGATGAAGTGTGTTTTTAAATTTTGCAGTGATGCTTCTTCAGCCACCGCCCAAAGGACTCCCCTGAGCTTGGACGTTGACCCAGCGCCTGCACGCGCACACAAATGCACCACACCCGTGGGCTTGCTCCGGGAGGAGGGTTTTGCAGTCACAGCTCTGGCACCGTGGCAGGAGGCGGAGGAGAAAGGCAGGGAAAGAACTGGAGGGGAGACTCCGGGGCCTGTGACACCCTGTGCATCCCTAACCCACCTGTGTTCCTCCAAACGTGTTCCGTGTGTGCAGGGGCCCCTGGCTGCGTGGGGCGGGACAAGGAAATCTGCCATTGTGGGTGGGTGTGAGGCTTTGGGGTTACTGAGCAGGATGCGGCTTTGGGCTGTGCCCTGACCAACCTGGGCCTTCAGCGGCTCCTCGGCCTCCTGTGTGACGTCCTGGCCCCTAAATTGGGGCCTCTTCCAGGCAGGTGCCCGGCCCAGCAGAGGACAGTAACTGGGAACACGCCGTCTCCAGGCAGGTGAGGGGAGGTGAGCGCGTGGAGATCTGTTACCCTCAGACCACGTAAGCACTCACACGGTTCTCCTCCACACAGGAATCCCTCGGCCACACCCGCGGAGCCCACTCAGCCTCCTCCTGCTGTCCTGTGCCCTCCGGGGGGCTTGACCCAGACCGGAAACTCCAGGAGGCCCCGCTGGTCAGAGGTAAAAAGCAAGGAGGTTTCGGGTCTTCCTGTTTCAGACTTCCTGACGTGATTTCTCGTTTTCCCGTGTTCCTGGGGATGGCAGGAATGATGCATGGGCTCCCCGCGGTTGCTCTCCAGCTGACGATGATATACTTACTGAGAAATTTTTAATAAATAAACCACAGCCTGAACCCATGTGCCCTTATAAACCAGCCGGTTCTCATGGGGAGGCTTCAGGAGCTTTTATGGAGCGATGCTATGTTCTCATGAGAATTTTATTAGAAATCGGAGACTTGAAATGCATGGAGCAGCAAATTTATGAGGCTACGTGGGAACCGGCCTCCTCTTTGTCATTCCGGATTAATTTCCTTCTTCGCATTATGTTGATTTACTTAGAAAATTTTAGTCATGAGCATCTTTCTGAATTTCTCAGCAAATGTAAGGCAGCAAATTGATTTTTTGAACTTTTCACTTTCTGCTTTTCTCCTTCAAGTCAGATAGATAATTACTGGTATTCTATAACAGTCCCCAAATCTATGGGAAACACACAGGGCAGAAATGTGGCCACGAAGGTCTTTCCAAACATCAAGGAATAAACAAGGAGCTCAGTGGGAAAACATTTTTATAGCCGTGAGCAATTCTTTAGGTCTCAACTATTTTCCACCTAACAATTTCTTCGATTATGTTTTTTAAATTGTGTTTTGTGAAGTGCCAAGTGAAAATTTCACTCAACCCTCCCCGCCAAAAAACCTGTTGTTTATCATCTGTAACCCAAGTTGGAAAACAGCCCAAACCCAGAATAGATGTTTGTGCTGCTGAGGGAGGGAAATGCTCCAAACACGTTCCTGCCCTGGGCGGAGGCCAGCACCTCACCAGCCATTCGCTTAATGGTGTCAGGGCGGCCTTGGCCTGGGAGAGAGTGGGTGAGCCGCACCGGAACCTGCCTGGGCCCAGCCACTCTGGGAGCTGCATTACTGGGCTCAGAGATCCAAGCTCGGGTCATGTTTCTGTCTTTAAGTTCAGTTTTGCAGCTCTGGTTGTGTTCTTCCAGCCGCGTCCTCGCTCAGGAGCTCAGGAGGTACGGGTTTGTTGAGTGGCCTCTATGGTCTGATTATTTTCGAGTTTTGTATCTACTTGGCCCGAAGTTCCTAGGTATCTATTTTAGAAAAAAGTATTCTTAGTAGAATAATGCACGCAGGCACCCTCGTTCCAGCCTCGTTCTTTCTATGTCCGCCTCTGCCCGCCACCCACTGGACTGACGCAATCGCGCCATCCGCCAAAATGTACACCGAGCGGCCTTTGTCCCCGTCTCTCCTGGGGCTTCCGACATCAGGGCTCTGTGCTACTTCATCTGCTCACACCGGTACTCCTGGGAACAGAGTCCTCACGCAGGTCCTGCTGTGCTCCCCAGGGCTCACAGGCAGGATGGGCTTGCTGTGCTCAAGCAGACACAGCTCCAAGTCTGGGAGGCTGGAAGACAAGGGCCGGGTGGGGTCAGACAGACAGACAGACGGATGGACGGACGGACAGACGGACACTCTGCCTCCATGGAGCCCGCTTCCTGACACAGGGCTTTTGAGAATGAGGCCAGGCCCCAGGCCCCAGGCCCCAGGGTTGTAAGTGTGGGGATAGATAAGCTGCAAGATAAGTATGGGACAGAGCTCCGGGTCATGGGTCAGCAGGGAATGCAAAGAGAGCTACAGGACGCCAGTCCCAGAGCACCCACAGCAGGTGGCAACAGTGAGGATGGCAGCGCCTGACGGGAACCTGCCCCTGGTAGAGAGAGAGTGTTCTGCACTTTCTTGCTGCACTGAGCCTGCCACCATGCTCCTCCCTGCACTGGTGTGTAGCTGTTTCTCTGCACGACCGCCTCAGCTCAGAAGCAAGGAAGGAAATTGTCCTTCAGTCAAGGAACGGGTAAACCAAGGCACGCCCAGCTGGTGGGCCACTGCTCAGTGCTAATGAGGAGCCCGCAGGGACGCAGGTGGGGAGGGGCGTGGCTGGTGGTACGGCACTTGCTCAGCAGGGGTCTGGGTTCATCCCCACCTAAGAGGGAGACATGGAGGGAATGGTGACAGATTAGTGAGCAAAAGGAGTCCATCTGGAGAGGCTCTGAGCTGTAGGATCCCCGCACAGTGACATTCTGCAAATGCAAAGCAAGATCCGGACTGGCCAGTGAGCCTGCACCAGGCGGAGGGCAGGGCGCACGTGTGGCCTCGCACACTGTCCAGAGCTGGGGGCTGCGCCACATGGGGCTGAGCCCTGGGGACTCGAGGGGCCAGCGGGATGTCGTGGTGGGGGAGTCTGGGGTGCAGGGGTCCAAGAGCACATGGGAAATTTGTTTTTTGCTCTGAACCCTAAACTGCTATTTTTTTTTTTTTAATCTCTTTACAAAATAAAAAGCTAGGGCTGGGGATTCGGCTCAGTGGTTCCACTGCCTGCCTCACAAGTGCAAGGGGCCGAGTTCGATCCCCGGTACCAAAAAAAAAAAAAAAAAAAAAAAACCTAGAAAACAACCAATAAAAGGTGCCTTGGATTTAGGAAACACGCATCCCGGCTCCTCTGTGGCACCACTTTAACCACAGGAAATGGAAGCAGAAGACACATCTAAGCAGGAGAGGGGTGTGGGTCCCATCCCTGGGGTGGGTGCTGGGACAGGAAGGGGACAGCAGGAAGGCTTCCGGGGGGAGGCGGCTTTGTGCCAGGACTTGAGGGCCAGGGCCTGCGCTGGGCTCCTATCAGGAAGAGGAGGCAGCAGCAGGGCCTGACACTCAGGTCTCTGCCCTGGGGTTTTGTCCCAGTGGGCCTCTTGTTCCTGAGAATTGTTAACAAATTGGTTTTCTTCCTCTTCTGCATGTTGGTCGTGGGCCAAGGAAAATACCCGCTGCATACAAACCAGCCAGAAGAGCCTGCCCATAAGTCAGGGCAGCACTGCCTCCTCCTGCAAGTGCCCACAGGATCCACCTCCCATGCCTGCCTCTGCGAGGCTGGGGCCACCCAGGATGAGCCTCAAAGGCGGCACCCTCCACACAAGGCAGTAGGAGCCGCCCTGGAGTTGGGGCACCAGGGATCACCCTATGTTGGCAGACTCAGCTTGGCTCAGCCTCCCAGCTGGTCCTGACTCCCTGGTGACAGTGCCACCAGGGAGCGTGGGAGTTCGAAAGCGCCAGTGTGCAATCTCCCTGCCTGTCCCCCAGGCCTCGGTCACCACCTGACCTGGGAAGGTGGCTGCTGAGCCTGGTGGCCCCAACCCTCTTCCCACTGTGTGGTGGATGGGACGGCCCCCCACGCCTCTCTCCTGTACTCTGACAGAGTGGGAGGTGCCCTGGGGTGAGCAGCTCACAAGGGTGGACCCTGGTGAGTGCCCAGAAGGTCCTTGGCCTCTCCACCGTGTGAGACGCAGGGGTGTTGCCAGCTGAAAACCTCGAGGAGGATCTCAGCAGACCCTGGGTCTGTCAAAGCTCCAAGAACTGGAAGAAATGAACCTGTGTCGTGCATCGGCAGCCTGGCCCACAGACACTCACGGTCCTGCCTTTAGCCAGTGGCCCCATTGGGGGTGAAAGTTTCAGATGACCCCAGCTGCGTGCTTTTATTTGCATGGAGAGAGCATTTGGAAAGGTTTGGAGAGGTCCTGACTAAGCCAGAAGGAGAAGAAGGTGAGGGCTGAGCCCCGGTCTACCTTCTCCGAGGTCAGCAGGATGCCTGGGACACTCCAAACCGCAGGGTCCCACCAGGCCCTGCCCTACTCCACCTGAGAGAGTGGAGACATAGGTCAGAGCTGCTGTGCCTGGTATGGCTGAGTCTGATGAGAATAAAAATCAGCTTCATCTTTGAGTCAGTGCAGAAAATTGGCCAGAGTCCGGCTCGATGGCTGAGTTCTCCATGCTGAAGGCAAAGCTATATCTTAAAACAGACTCCTGCTCCTAGAAGAACTGGCATTCGACTGCTTATACTGGGACGGTTAAGAGTCTGGTAAAACACGAGCTCCTGGTAGTCCAGCCTCCTCTACCTCACACTCTCTGCATGCCCCTAAGCTTCTGGGACTTGGTGCCGCAAACCGTGATTCACAAAGAACAGAAATTTATTTTGCCCAGCTCCGCGGGCTGAAAAAGCCCAAGTCAAGGCACTGGCTGGTTGCTGTCAGGTGAAGTGAGTCCTTCATCTCCTCAAGGACGCTTGGGACCCATTCTCTTCTGCTGCTCGGCTCCCTAGGTAGGCAGCTACCTGCAGGGCGCAATTCCCACCTGCCCCCCAGTGAAAGGCCGGGATCGCAGTTCACACAAGGTGCCTTCGTGCCCCTCCCCACCTCCACAGAACGCGCTCCCAGTGCCCTGGGGGGTGGGGAGCTGGGGCCTCAGTGGTGCCAGTGGGCTGGGGTGGTGCAGGTTGCAGGCCATGGGCCGTGGGCTGGAACAACTCTGAGAAGAGCTGTCCCGGTGCCTGGGCCTTGCAGTTGTGCCAGGAGGAGGCAGGAAGCAATCACTCTGGCTGATTCAGCGGAGGCGGCTAAGGAGGTGTGAATGTAACTGCCGCCTTCCAGGCCCCTTAACAGGCCCTCAACATGCTTCCTGTCCCGGTCCAGAGACAAAGGCGGTGGGGCAGCACTGTGTGCTGCTGTCTTTGCAGAGTGTTTTGGAAGCTCTGGCCATTCTTCTTGGCCCGGAAAGTGGAAAATCAGAGCAGTGAAAACACACCACATGGCCAGCATTTTGTGCCTGCGGACAGAACCCAAGGAGAAACCTCGCCTGGTCGGGAGCCCAGCTGTCCTGAGGGTGCTAAGCAGGGCGGGCTGGCGGAGGGCACGGAGCTGTCCGGGTGACAGAAGCAGCAAGGCCCGATCCGGTCACAGGCGGCTGTGGCTGGCTGAGCCGAGCTCACTTGTTCTGCGACCACATCACACACTGGCTGCAGGGAGCCCCGCAGGCCTTACTGCCCTGCTTTCCCAGTAAGGAAAATGCTCCTTTGGAGACAGGGGTTTGCCCCTCGCCCCTGGCTGGCAGCTGGCACAACCACAGAGCCCCCGCTCAGTTTGGCGCTGGCTCCCATCTCCTCCCGGAGCCCAGGCCTCTGGCTTCTGCACAGCCTCGCCTCTCCACGGGCCCCAGCCTCACTCCTGCCCCAGGCCCTGTGCGGTACTGCTGTGCTCACCTTGCTCTCCTCTGAAACACTGTTGAGTCTTCCAAGCCCAGGCAAAGCCCCTGACGGCCACAGGCACTCAGCTCATCTGAGACTTGGAGGTGCAGGGACACCCACGACAGTCCGCAGTGGAGGTGACCGCAGAAGAACAAACACATAACGGCGGCAGCCCTCAGACAGATGTGCGATTCCCATCGGTGTGTGTGGGAAGAGCTGACCCAGGCAGCCCTAGCGCATCCACAGTCGACTTCACACGTACCCAGCAAGACCGAGGACGCAGAGCCCCATGGGAAGAGGCCCACTCGGGATCCAGGCAGCACTGGAAGGTGCCAGTGGCATCTTTGTGGGGGGTCTGCTCGGCAGGTGCCCCCACAGCCCTGGGATGGGGGACACAGGGAGGTGCAAGGCCAGGGGCTGTGGTGGGTAGTGTGGGAAGAGGACGAGCTGCATGTGGAGGAGGGGCCACAGCCCCGTGCCCAGAGCTCCCCTTGCCCAGCGTCACAGAGGGGTGAGGCCCTGGGGTCCAGGGCAGCAGTGAGGATGTGCCAGGGACTTGGCGAGAGAGCAGGCACAGCGGCAGTCGTGCAGGGAGGGGCCAGACCAGACCGGCGGCTTGGGTCTGTCTGGAAGATGTGCACAGCAGTGGTGTGCAGCCAGCAGAGGCCGCTGGCCATTCCGGGAGAGGGGACTGGACACACGTGGAGCCATCTCCTCCACCCTGGTCACCCTGTGCACAGAAGGTGCTGTGGACCCTGGGGGAGGCGCTGCAGTGGTGGACAATCCTGCGACCCACGCTCTGGCTCCAGACTGGGAAATTGGCTCCGAGAGATGCCAGCTCCTGGCCGGGCACCAGCTTTCCTGGCTTCTGCCTCCACGCTCACACCAACAAGGCCCGGAATGAATCCCACACACGTCTGTGTGAGCGTGTGCTGAGTGTGCTGATGTGCATGTGCTTGGTGGCCTGTCAGCTTTTACCACCTCACAGGGCTGGACAAGAACGGCATTCGCAGGATCACAGTGCCTACACTGTTAGGGTAGGAATGGAACAGCTCTCTGACTCCGAATCCAGGGCTCCCGGAGCGCTCCTCAGTCCCCGGCCGTAGCTCCATTCCCACCGGTGGCTTTTCACACTGGCCCTACGCCCAGCCCGCCCAGAGCAGGTGGCTGGGGAGTGGGAAAATTCCAGCAGCATCAGACTGACCTCCACACCTGTGAGGGGCAGTTTCCGGCTCAGCGTCTGGGCGATGGACTAGGATGGGGCATGGTGTCAGGAGGTGGAAATGGCCCCGGGCTGTGACCCCACACGCACACTGGGGTTTTCCGTGTGGAAAGACAGCTGTCACCCACATACAGCCTGGTCTCAAGCCAGGGCAACTGTGCGCCTCACACAGGGAACGGCTTGCATCTGTCCACCAGGCCCCGGATGGGCAGGGCGGCCACACCCGCCGTCCCAACGGATCCCTGGCCTTCAGCACCCGTGGCTGTAAATTTCCGTCCATGCATTGCTTGTTACATTTGCTCATTCTCTTGCTCTCTCTCCAAAAAGAACTAAAAAAATGAAATCATCTGACTTTAACCTAAAGCTGATAGGTTCCCATGCACAGAAAATCTGCCCTGATTTCTTCAGATGTCGCTGAATGGGTTCTGCTGTCCTCAGAACAAGTGGCAGGAACTGCACAGATCCTACCAGGACTCTATGTGCCCAGGCATCGCTGTGCACCTGTGACGTTCACCTCTGTCCCCCAGCACCTCCCTCAGACCTTGATGTGTGCGGGGCGTGTGAGCGTGTGCAAACGTGGGGGCGCTGTCTCTCGTGCTCCATGAAAGCACAGGAAGAAATGGTGGGAAGAGAATTTCCCGAGCGGAGCAATCCATGTCCCGTGGCTCCCGAGACCCCCGCACCATGCCCCGCAGGACCCCAAGTCCAGGGCTCCGCAAAGCCCATCTCTTGGAACTGTCTCCCGACCTGTCTGCTGAGTCCCTCTGCCCTGGAGCTAAGACGCATCCGCAGCGGCACCTGTCCGGGCCCAGGGTGAGGCTCTGCAGCCCCGTGGCAGCCTCCGGAGGAGCCAGGCCTGGGAGCTGGAGGCGGTGTCCTCGGTGGAGGTGTGCAGGAGGCAGTGAGTGGTGCGAGCTGAGCGTGCAAGATGCAGCACTGCACTCTGCGCCCGCTCGGACGGACCCTCCCTGCAGGGGCGTGGGGCAGTTCTGGCAGTTGCCCCTGAACAGCCCCTCAGGCTGGGCCTGGGGTCAGAGGGCCCTCGGGGCTGCCTGCCCTGGGGTGAAGAACCCTCTGGCGGAGCTGCAGAATGTGGGTGCGAAGCGTCAGGCGCCCGGCCTCCTCACAGCTGCCCTCGGTGCACCGGGCCTGAGACGGGCCTGGCTGGGGGCGGCCATGTCAGCCTCCCGGCCTTGTCCACAGGAAGCCAAGGCCTCACAGGCTCCATCATTATGGCTGCTTTTGTTTGGTCCTTTTTCCCTTTGTTTAAGTTCAGTGCTTAACAACTTGGATCAACACCTAATCCCAGCATTCTCGGAGGCTGAGGCAGGAGGACCCATAGATTCAGCCTAGCCTGGGCAGTGTAATGACTTAGCAAGATTCTGTTTCAAAACTGAAAAGGGGGTTGGGTATGTAGCTCAGGGCAAAGACCCCATATTCAGTCCTTATTCAATACTTACTTATTCGATCCCTGCTACCGTCAGTCCTGAGCCCCGTCCAGGTTCACTCGCAACATGGTTGTGCTTCCTAGACCGCTCTGCCCAGCCGAGTGCCAGGGGCAAACCTCCCGGCACTCATGACAGGCAGCCATAGGCCGCCACGCCACCCTGCGGAGCTCCGTCGTGGGAGGTAGGGGAGCCTGCTGTTTTGAGAGATGAGCAGGAGTTTGCCGAGGGGAAACACACTCCGGGAAGAGATCTGCACTGGAGTTGAAGTAGCAGCCGCCTCTCTTAGTCACTCAGGGAGTAAAATGATGAGCCAAAGCTGCCAATAAATTGTTCACTGAAAGTGCTCCCCGCCGCTGGTGCAGCTCCGAGAGCAGCGCAGTGGATGTGCTGACAAGGTCTGGGCAGATGGCGGTGCCAGCCAGGTCAGAGGCGCGGGATCCTGTGGCCTTGGAGCGGAGGGGCTGCCTGTCTGTCTGTCCTCAGCCCCTGGGCAGTGTCTGCAGCTGGAGCTGGAGCTGGGCCGGACCCAGCGACGGGCAGGGTGGGGGGTAAGCCACTGGGGCCAGGAGGGTCACAGCCTGGAGAGAATGTGGGCTCCTCCCACTCAGCCCTCCTGACCCAGTCCCCTGGCAGAGCTGCCGGCCTCCTGTGCACCTGCCAGGTGGGGCAGATGAGGCGCAGGGGTGCGGCCAATCTCCCGGGCTCCGAGTGGGCACCAGGAGGCAGGAGGGATCCTCGTAAACCACCAGAGCCACAGGGGCGGTGGACAGCCTGCTGTGGAGTCTTTCCTGCTCAGGAGGGGCGCCTGCCCCAGGCCCTGTTCTCTGGTGGGGACAGGTCTGCGCAGGAGCAGGGCAGCTTGGCATCTGGCCCAGCCGGGCTCCGGGGACTCGGGTGACTTTGTTTTTAAATAATACTTTTAATTAGAGAATATTGTTAGAATAATACAGATGTAGTTAGACACTAGGATAACTGTGACCGATACCATAAGGAAAACTGGTCTATAGACTTATTTATTCACTCACCACAACCACAGGAAACAGGAACAGAGTGCCGGGTCTGTGCAGAGGCAGCCAAGGACTTGGGAGCAGAAGGCATGCGAAAGCCAACAGGGAAGAGCCTTGGGCAAAACTTCTACGAGAAGTTCAGCCTCCCAAATGGGCAGGGATTGGCACAAAGAGGAGACACAGCCGGTCTTGGCCCTGCGAACTTCCCAGCTGGAGCGCGCATGCATGGGAGGATGGGGACGGGGGAGACTCGAGTCTCTTCTTACGCCCTTCACCTCTAAGAAGCAAAAAGCAGCAGCAGGCACAGGCTGGGAGGAGGCACTGGAGCAGCAGAGGAAAGGGGGACGAAACGCAGGTCACAGAGAGGCTGCCTTCTGTTGCCACTGCCGACCTGACACTTGTGGCTCAAAGAAGCACAGGAAAATTTTGAAATCCATGAAAACCATCCACAACACTGATACAGAAGACAAATATGAGTGTAGTTACCATGAACATGTATGTCACCCAGTAATTCAAATGTGAATAGCCAGTCCGCCAGATTTTGTATAGAACAAAAAACATGCTCTCTGCTCCCACGTTTGTATTTAAATAGGAGTAGCAATGTGAGAAACTTTGCTCAGAGTGGTGGTTTTTGTTTTTGGTGTTTTTTTTGAGACAGAATCTCACTGTGTAGTTGAGATTGACCTGGAGCTATGAAGCCCAGGCTGGTCTCAAACTCACAGTGATCCTCCTGCCTCAGCCTCCCCAGTGCTGGGATCACAGGCGTGCGTCACCACGCCCGGCAGTTCAGGTGACTTCTGAGTCCGTGTGGGTTCCTGTCCCCTTGGCTCCATCCTGCTGGGAAGGGCAGTGTCCTGACCAGTGTCCCAGCCCTGCCAGCTGGAGCCAGAGAGGAGGGCAGGACGGCAGCACCAGGAGCGCAGGGCACCCAGCACGGCACCTGCCACTCTCCCTCCTTATTTCAAGTGCTGGGAACAGGGAGGGAGGAGCAACGTGAGAACAGCAGTGCATATGAACAGGCGACAGGCTGGGGACACTTCCCATGTGTGACCTGCATTTGTCCCAAGCCCCGTTAGACCAACGTAACAGTTCTGTCAAAGATGTTCCCAGCTCCAGGGCCAAGCAGAGGCCACTCCTGGGCCTGCACAGGAGCAGAGCGACAGGGCTTCCTCAGAAGGCACAGGATGGCGGGCGTATGCCTTGCCCAGCCACCACATTTCTGCGGGGCTTCTGGGGAGCAGAGCAGGACCAGGCGCCGAGCAGCGACGACAGCGAATGTGAACGCTCAGAAGGGACAGGCACCGGTCGGCTGCCCTGTGCGGAAGGTTTCGCTGGCCCTCGTGTGACCCTGGGAAGCTGGAACCTCGTCTTCACTACTGCCTGTAGTTAAGGACATGGAGGCACAGGGATTAGAGATGGCGCCATGACCCCTGGGTCCCCGGGCCAGTCCTCCTTCACAAACAGGGAAACAGCAGGCTACAGAGACCTGCTGTGACCCCCCCAGACAGCAGGAAGTCGGCAAAGAGACCCAGCTGCCACCCGCCGGGTCACTCGCTGAGCCACTCACCTCCAGGAGCAGCGCCCTTGCCCCAGCAGGTGGCTCACGCACCCTGGCTCAGTGCCGGCTCTGAGCCACTTGAGGAGCATGGGGAAGGCGACCGCCTGGCTTTCTTCACACCACAGTGGGGTCCCTGGAAACGGATGGCCTGGCCCAGCATCCAACACTAAGGCGGCATCCGACAGGCAGCTGCAAAGACTTGGGCTGTGGATGCAGAGCAGCACCTTACCTATCGCTCCAGCAGCCAGAAGGAACAGCTGTTATCTTGCCTGCTTGTCTTCTGCTAGAGGTCAAAGTTTATCACAGTCCCACCCTGAAAAGTTTTCAGTGAAACCAAATCAACCCAAACAACAAACACAACCACAATAAAAACCCGAAAGTGTCTCCAGGGTCTAGAGGCACCGTACTCGCCTCTGCCCGCTTGCTGCACACCAGACTGGCACGGAATTTCCTAAAGCTTTACTTCTCGGCCCCTGGTGTCGAACTGGAAAGTGCTCTTCTGAACACACCGTCCTTCTAACAAAGCTTTCACACAGACAGGGAAAGAGGAGCCCCTGCCGTCCCCTCTGCAGGG